ACATGATTCATCATAGGACATGGTCCCTTTCTCACGTATTTCTATGCAACGAATATATCATCTACAAATTCTTGTGTACATGGAGAAATGGACGAATCAGAATACTATATTTTTTCATCTTTATTAACAAGCATTATGTGAAAAAAAGAAAGAACCTAGCTTAAAACGAGAACGTTTGCCTTTTCTAAGATTTGCTATAAAAAATAAACATACGTGAAACATAATTACAATAATTATGGATTTCCTAGCTGCTACAGGCCAAGAACTTTTCAGCACAAATTAATTATCACAAATAATAGTGAAAATTAATTATCATGAACATATATGACTGTTAACCATTTCTTATGACTAAATTTTATGACACTGAATGTTATACGAATGTGATGCAATCTGGTTGTTGAAAGGATGTTGGTCATCTGGATATATAGTGTATGAGGATACATAATGTATGAGGTCAATACCCACTCCCGTATGGCAGCTATAGGGTGACTTCTACACTTATACCTGTATACCTAATATGTAATTTAACAACACTGCGAATTTCCGTGATGAATGTCGAGAATTTTAGAAAGTTCATTGGAACTTATGGGAGAGAAATGTGCTGCAAACTATTATTACTCGATAATTAAAATTAGAGCTCTGAACCTGTTTAAATTGCTAAAAGAACTGCTCTGAGGAAATTACACATTTTAATTTGAAAATTCGAAGCACCTCTCATGTCAGCCAATATCTCAACAAATCATGTTATTCTTTCGGTTTTAAAGAGTTTTAAACCTTAGATGATTTGTTGATTTTTGCTGCATTTTTGCGCTTAAAGAGAGCTTTGTATTGGAAACATAGCGAAGAGGTTAGTAGGAAGGAATTAAATCTCGATGTAACCACTACTTGCTATTCACGCTCAAACACTGTAAGATTATACAACGTTTTTTCTACATTATACATTTTCTGTTGACATTAGAGAAAAATGGTCAAATTAAATATCTTACGGCTAATAAAATTAATTCTGCTCTGAACAAATTTTAAAAATTAACACCAATACATTAGCTAATGCCTTTCACAGTTCCGGTTTGTTCTTATCTCTTGGCAGTAATCTAAGATATGCTTAAAATCCGTAGAGAAAAGGGAGCGTTCAAAATCTGTATTTAACACAACCGGCAGAGTATAATTAGAAATTAATTAAATTGTCCTTTAAATGGAAGCGATTTTAAACTAACCAGACCAAACCAAGTTCGATATTGGCTGGCTTAATGCATTGTCACAGCCAGCGTCTATGCATCATCAGCAGTTTTACGATATCCAAAGTAATTTTCTGCCTTTTCAAATTTGGAAGCTGTAATTACAACATGCATATATTATTTCTGTTTACGTGGTCTAGATATACATATCATTCTTAGTTCGTTTTATTGTTATTTTAGGAGCTAAAAATTGTCTTACTTATTTGTGAGTCATCTTGAAGACTTTGGAATGCTCAAAATTTCCATCCATATAAATTTCCATCCAATAATATCCAAATGTATCCCATATATATCCATATAACAGTATTTTCTTTTTCGGTTAATGCCATTTCGGCTTGCAAAAGATTTCACAATAAGTTTGCGAATACTTGAGAAGTGTTCATTAAAATTCTTTTAATTTCATAGGAGAACAGAAACCACAAAAATAAAGCATAAGCTTAGACAAAGCAACAACTTTGTATTTGGCATAGATTTTAGTAAACCCTCTGTCGATTTCGAAGGCAAAGAGATACAGGACTGTCGTCATCAGGAACAAAGAAATATGCCACAGACGAAGTGTTAGCCGCAGACGTATGTATACCAAAACGAAGTAAAGTGAGCGAGAGAGTAGCTTCATCTGTCCACTGAAATAGAAACGAAAACTGAAAAATTAAGTTAATAGAACTTTAAAAACGTTTGAAAGATTTCCTTAGGATTTGCTTGAAAAGCTTAATAAAACCATTTCACTAAGTGATGAACAATTATAAGGTATTTCCCCCGCCTTCCTAGCGTGCCTTCGTAATGTAGTGGTTCTGCACGCTGGTCCGGTATCCCAGAGGTCCGTGGTTCGATTCCCGGCGAAAGCTTTCCGAAAATTACCTAATGTCTCTACAGTGGCTCCCGAACTAAAAACGGGTGTTGGATGATGATTCTCCTCACCCAGGATTTGGCGATTAGGTCCCCTAAAAGCCCCAGTCGGCCTTTAAAAGTGAGAGTATATAAGGTATTTCTCCCGGCTTCCTAGCGTGCCTTCGTAATCTATTGGTTCTGCACGCTGGGCCAGTATTCCAGAAGTCCGTGGTTCGATTCCCGGCGAACGCGGTTGCTAATTTTTCATCTCTCCATCTTTCCGAAAAATACCTAATGTATCTACCCATTTTTGGATCACTTTTGCAGAAACCAAATCAAAATTCTTGTTAAATTTCCAACTATGATTAGTCACAAAAGACTTATAAATTTCTATCAGCTACAGAACTGCACGAATTCTCCAGAAGTTCAATTTTGTAGTCATGGTTTTCGCTGCTCTATAAATTTCACGATTCGCTTCTTAAACATTCCATTTCTGACTTTACTTCTTTGGGAAATTTATAGCATACATTTTCACAGCAAATTTCTTCGCTCCTGATGAAGAGGGACCTGTATCTGTTTGCCCTCGAAACCAATAGAGTTCGAGGGCAAACAGATAAACGTTACTCCAAATACGAGGTTGTTACTTTGCCCAATTTTATTTCTTTTAATTTGTTGATATGTCTTCTTAAATACTCGAATAAATTTCATTTTCAGAGCGCTTTGAGATGAAAATAGAGGTAAAGGAACGATAAAAGCTTGAAAAGACTCCTTCTGACTCGGCATAAAATCGTTCTAATTAAACTTAAGCCGTACAGTATATGCTTTAAAAATAGAACGAATACTTTAAAAATGTAAAAACTTGAAAGAACTAATTAAACTCAAACCACGTAATGTATACGTTATGAGAAGCAGAATAAATCCAAGCAATAATAAATTGTAAATTGGCATTTATTCTTTGATTTTATAACGAAGCACATAAACTAGTTTAAGAAAACTTGTTGCAATGTATTAAATTTAGTAAATGAACGCAATACAATACACGATTTTTAAAAGGATGTTCTATCTCATAAAATAAAGGTCTCATAAATGTTGAATTTCTATTTTAGGAATCATTATAGCCGATAGATGGTCAATATGAGTTAGTAAGATGTAAACCACTGGACGTACCGCCTGTTTTCATGGAAAAAATATTAAAAATCAGAAGTTAATGTAAATAAGACATTGAGTTATATAATGTGGGTAACAATATGGCAAAGCAATGAAGGAAAATTTCTTTTGTAAGTAACAAAAGCGAAATTTAGACGCAGTGACCTTCCTAACCGCAAGTCATCTAAACAGAAATTCATGGTTGCAGAACTTTTAACATATGAAGTTTATTTATTGACAGGGCTGAAATTTATATGAAAACAAAACATTTATGATAAAAATTAGCATTTTTCAGAACCATGCTTTCATTTTTCTCGCATTATTAGGAAAGAAGTGTTAAATGAACGGAATAAAATTGCCCTCGGGACATTTGTGCGTATTGTCTGAAGTATTCATTAAGTTTAATGGTTTATAAAAGTAATTTCCTATTTTTAGTAGATCACATTTTCTGTAGAAATTATTCAACAGATTTTAAAAATACACAGAGTTTTTATGGTTTCGGAAATTCCTTGGAAAATTCTGCTTTTGCTGTTTTGCATAGCTTACATACAATTTCTATAGAAAGCCATTTGCAATTTAACTTAATGTTTGAAAACGTTTTATCCTATACATTGAATATAATGTCAGGGACAGGCGTAACTGAATATGTGACGATAAATATTTCTTTCAACAGGTAATTTATTACAGTGTGTAGCAAATATTAAGTTCTTCCCTTCATCCTTAGGGCAAAATACATTTTTTATGAATGTTAAGACAGAAATTATAACGAAGAAAAATATTAATTTTATTAAATTAAAACATTAAAATTCCCTAAACTTTGGTTTCAACACAGAGTTTGAGTGCCAAATTTTGCTTCAAAGTTATCAGATGAAATCATAGTAGTTCAACGAATACTTCAAGAAGCTGCAAATTTACTATTTGTTCTAAAACTAAATAGCAAATAAAAACAAGTAATACCAAAGGACATATTTACCGTATTTATCACAAACATTGCATTTTTTTTTCTTTTCTAATGGCGTGTCTTCGTATAGTAATTGCAAAGTACGTCCAGCTAGTAGTGGGGAGATGGGGAGTTTAAGTCTCGGAGACGGCTCTGCTCATTTTTCATGTTCCCTGATTTGAAATAAACCTAAAATCTCTGGAAGTGGCGCCCGAACTATTGTCGCGGACGCTAATTCCTTTCGCGACTGAGTTCCCTCCTCCGTAGTCGCCATTTAAAAAGAAGAGAATGTGATAATTTTTCTCCTTCGATACTACCTGCGTTCGTTGTATAACTGTAAAGCGCGTTCAGCTACCTGTCGAAAGGTCTGGAATTGGAGTCCAAGCAAGGGCATCGTTAATTTTTCAAGTTTCTGCTTCAAAATAAACATTACTGTAAATCTAACAACTAATTTCTATAGAACTATAGTTTCACTGAACTACACAACATTACATTAGAACTAATATTTATGTCTAGAACAAATTGCTTGCATTAAATGACCACAATATCAAACTTTTTTACAATCTCGTAGATTTCCAAATCTTCAAATAATAAAAATATATTAGATATCATATGTGCGTTTAAGGGAATGAAATTAGCAAACATTTGCGGCTTTTATTTAGAATACCATTTGGTTAACAATCATTGATAGATAAAATATAGATAAACACGGTAATGTTCAGCGAAGGAACTAAGTAAAAAAGTTGTTTATAGCGAAGATAAAACTACATCTCAAAACATCACTAAGCCAATTTATTTCTTTAATTACTTTGTTTTCAATGATTTTATTATTCTGTGTTTTGCTTTGATAGGCTAATCCGAATTTGGAAAAGTGCTGATAACAGAAGGAGTACATTGAGGCTTTCCAAATCGCAAGGAAGATTAACGTAGCCTGAAGATGGCACTCCAAATACCTGGGATTACCCGTTGATGCATCTATCTACGATAAGATTTCCATTGCCACTCCTAGAGTTGTGTCATTCATCACTCCTTCAAGTTAATTAATCAACATATCGATAAAGATTATCTTACTGCTACCTGACCTCTCTGAGCAGACGTCAAGTCTTGAGCTTTCGCAAGCGCAGAAAGTTCCACCCATTGCGAAAATGCTTACCGAAAGCAACAACAGTAGATAATTTTCGAAGTTAGGTGATACTGAAAAAACCTGTCATCAAAATATAGGATAGCGGAGTACGGTTGCCATCAAGAGGATTTGTATCGCAATAAAAGAAATATGGCACCTATGATTTATGGTATTGAAGAATGGTTGGAAAAGAATAAGACGTATTTTCAGCCACCAATTTGTAATAAGTTAATGTGAGTATAGTCTATTTATTGTTTGCTTTATTTTATATTTTGCTATGCTGTATAGCTTTGACACACACAATAAGAATTTCTTATTGCAGATCAGAATTGATACGTGCAATTGTTCGATCAGCAGCAAGACACCCCTGTTTGCAACCGTTCAAATTTTATCCTAAACTGACCTCTGTTTTAGGCAGTAAAATATCAAGCTTTCGATAAAGTTATTTTTAAAAAAAATCGATTTTCTAAATTCTGAATTAAAATGTTGTTTATAAATATAAATGTTACTTAATTGATATGTAAAATGCTAGAATAAATTGCCTTTAAAAAGGGTTTTTATATTGTCTGTATTGATTATGCTATTGAATTTAAAATACAAATAATTTGTTTTCGGTTCGGTGTTTTTCTTTGTTTCGAACTGTTTAAATTTTTAACCAAAGGCAACGGATAAAGTCATTTGACAAATTTGTGTTTGTTGCTAATGGTACGTATTAAAATATTTTTAAATATTATTAAATTATTGAAATTTTGATGAGATACATATATTTTCAGCAGCGTTTTTTCCCAAGTTATTTGATTTTAATATAAAAATAAGGAAGATTTAATCCAAGCTGAGAAAGTTAGCTTCTGTTTGTTAATCTGGTTTTTTATTATTGCTCTAAAGGAAAATTATATTCCTTAAGGTATCATTTGCTCGTACTAATATTAATTTTGCAATTTTGCTTTGATATTTTTATTTTGCTTTAACTAGTTTTGTATTCCTCCTTTTATACTTCCTTTTTCACATAAATGAATCAATATTAATTATTGATTAGTGTTATAATTTTTTTAAATAAACAGAATGATAAACTGAAAACCTATTGCATTAATGGCACTTTACTGATTTAGTAATCATTTTAAATCTATTTCTTAAATGTGTCCGTATTTCTTAAATAAAAATTGTTCGTAAAAGTGCTCCGCATAGCAATAATTGTAATATAACGACAGTTGTATATATTTATTATACAACGACAGTCGTATATAATGACAGTTGTGTATATTTGCTGTATTGAATGGATATATTTGCTTTTGTATCGATAACTGCTTAGAGTCGCTACATTTATGACGTCAGCCATCTTCTGTAAACAACTTTTTGTATACGTTGCTCAATGCTAAATTCAATATAAAGCTACGCAAAAATTCTAAATTAAAGGCTGTTTAGGATTAAGATATAGCGTATTATAATAAATTTCATGATATGCTTCGTTTCTAAATTTGAAATATGTTATTAATTGTCAAACACAACAATCAAATATTTCAAAAGGTTTTTAATATTCTTAGAAAATGTTTTTAATATCTTTAGAAAAGGTTTTAATCATTCAAAATGATAGTGAATTGTGGCACGCAAACATTCTTTGAAATCGGTTATTTTTTAAATATTAATAGTGTCTGGGAGTTTCTTTATCATAGAGCATTTTAATGCTAAGGAGATACTGGATTATTTTGAGGGTGGAGTCTTGATAAATTTATAATTTTTAATTTAAAGAATCATTTTTTGACATTGAAAGAGACGTATACATATTGGCCTTAAATAATTATTATAAATATTATAGTATTTCTCTCCTGTTTTAACAATATACTTACACATTCATAAGCTTTATTTTGTTTTTTATTAGAATTATTTCAATTTTATAAGTTTAAATTTTCCTTGAAAAAAGGTTATATTGCACAGAAAACATATACCATACGCTGTTAATATCATCTATTCCCCCTGGGAAGTTATAGCATATTACTCCCATCATTTATGACTCCGAAAACCTAATGACTTCTCATAAGGGTAGATCTCTGTTTAAGAGAGTCATAAAAGTGAGTCATCTAGGGTCTCGCAAGCAATCTGTTTTTTCCCTCTTCTTTTTTCTTTGAATACTATTTATATTTCTCTTATTAACTAATACTAAACTGGTACCACATTATTTATGATATTTCATTTAATGTTTAGAAAAGTTATGTTAAAAATTCTCCAGTATATATTTGAAATTACCATTATCTGCATTAACAAGTGACAGCGGATTCATTTTTTTATTTAGTTCGCCGTCATAGGGAATTTAATTTAATTGAATATCATTCAAGAGTGGTTTTTTTACACTTCAAGAAAGCCGTCCTGACCGATATAGTGGTCAGCTACACTGGCTGCCGTATGATGTGCAGAGTTCGGGTCTTGGAGAAGGCATGAATGCTTATTTAGTGTCTGTGCAGCATGGAAGCACTTACAATACTGGTGAGTCTCAAGACCCCTGGAGTAGTTTGGTGGTAGTGCAAGAGAGTTGAAAGAGTCTCAGACCGGCCTCGTCTTCAAAAGGGGAAGAGCTACACGTTCATGTGGTGGGATTATATCCCTACCAATAATTATAGTTCAGGGGCGGTGGCTTAACCTCTTCGTCGTGCATAACGCGTCTAGCGCGTTCAAGTGAAACTTCCGCAGGGCGGCCGTAACGCGCCTCGAGGGTTCTTCTACATTTAAAAAATTTTAAACGTTTAAAACGCTTTCTAAATGTTTACTTGTTGATTATTTTTTTTTTTTTTTTTTTTTTTTTTTTTTTTTTTTTTGTTTAATACCTCCTAGAGGGTAGCACTAATCAGGCATTCTACTTCTAATTGAATTTTGCCAAGCTTTTATGAATATTGTTGTGTAGAGAATTTGTCTGATCGCGTTATAAAAACTAGGTGAATGATTTTCTGATTTAAGGAAATCTTAATTTTATTTGATTCTGAATTATTTATTTTAATGCTTTAATTTTGAGGAAAAACAGATGATTCTGGGAATATTATTTAGTTTAAAAGTATATTATTTATTTTTCTTTTATTTGCAATTTTTGTACAAGCTTTGATTCATTGTGAAAAGAAGCAGGGAAAGGGAGGCAATTTTGCTAAGTCATGATTTCGCGCGCTTTGTCCTTTAGAATGTTCTAGAAGAAATTCCATTGTGCAGTTGACCTTAGGACAGGAAGTACGTGACAGAAGGGTCAGAGGTTGCCACTTAACCTTCGATGTAAGTCATTCAGGTTTTGGCGATTCGGAAGGGTCCGGTTGTTGGCTAAGTGAAGAAGGGCGCGCAGCGCGCGATTCGTCCTTATTTCCGCATTCAGGGGTTGAAAACGCAAATTTTGCCAAAATTAAGGGGGCGATAATTGAAGCCATAGTGGGAGCCCGCGTTTGTGGAAGGAGAGGAAGAAAATTCGAGGTTTGAATTCACTTTTCGTGCGAGACTTGGCGAGACTTGCTTGCGGAAGCTTACTTTTGAGACGTTACTCTTGAAACTTGCTCTTGGGTTGAGCGATAGAAACGATGTAATTTACGAAGAGAGATGTTTTTCCGGCGGGGAGCGGCAAATATGCTCCCCAGCCGCGTTTTGGCTAAGAGGCGAGATTGAAGAGGTATGAGTATTTGCTGAAAGATTTAAAAGACTTTTACTCACTTATTTTTGAATCACTTTTCGTGCGAGACTTGGCGGGACTTACTTGCTTGCTGAACTTACTTTTGGACGTTACTCTTGAAACTTGCTTGAAAGCCATAGAAAAGATGTAATTTACGAAGAGAGATGTTTCCCGGCGGGGAGCGGCAAATATGCTCCCCGACCACGATTTGGCTAAGAGGCGAAATTGACAAGTGTACGAGTTCTGCTGGAGAGATTTAAAGACTTTTGGACGTTACATTTTGCCCGACTTTGGACTAGTTTTGTTGAAGGATTTAAGACTTTCAGGATTAAGACATTTTGCCGGACTCCCAAGGTTGAAGGATTTAAGATACAATAACACGCAGAATAAATACTAATTCAGAAGTCAAACAACAAAAATCAGCGTTATATTTACAAAACAACGCTGATTGATAACTGTGAAAATTTTGTAAATATTACGCTGATTTTTGTTGTTTGAGTTCTGAATTAGTTGAAGAATTTGTTAAGGTTCTGGGGATGAATAGGTGGTGATTAAGGCGGATCACGGCGGACACTATCCGGCCGTCGCCTTGCTGTCGAAAAGAAAAAAAATGATCCAGCGAGTATTAATTTCCAAAATTATTGGCCAAGTTCCACCCCGGCCAACATGAGATTTGATACTCGACATCCTGACTGCGAGCTTGAAGATTCTGCTCGGGTGCTGGTTTCTAGGGCTTGTTTTCTGCGATGCTGAGCGAAGCGGATTGGTGTTGCTGAAAAATCATTGGAGTCGGTGTTATCCGGAATTGCGGCCAGTGGCACCGAAAAGCGTGAGACTCCTTAGACGCCTGTTGTTCCCCTTAAGGAATGATTTTTTTTAGGAATTATGGTGGAATTATAACCCCTTGAATTTTCTCCCAGAATGCAAGGCCAGCCCAATACCTTTCCGGGTGCGTTTCAAGTCGTCAAAATCACAGATAAGTGCTTTATCAATTTTCCTTAGAACTTTTGGAAATTGAAACTTTACCTAAAATAGAATCTTAAATTCATCCTACTGAAACTGAATTGCTTCCTCTTTCCCCTTCTTAATTGACCGAGACAAACCTTAAGGTCTTTATATGAATTAGGATGTAATAATTTAAGTTGTTTGTGTAATCTTCCTTAGAACAGATGTGAATTGCAAATAATATGTTTTCTTTAACCTGTTAGAAATTATACAACGGATAACCGTTAAATTAAAAGAGTCATGTAATAGATTTGCAAATCATGAATTTAAATGTAACAAAGGTAAATGACAAATTGAAGAATTCCCCTGTGTCTAGAATAAGCAAATTGAAACTGTAACAAAAATAAGAAATTTGACTCTCTGATTAGGATAAGATTTAATTTTAATTGTGAGGAATTTGAATAAACTGGTATTTAATCTGGAAGCCTATTACTTATGTTTCTTTTTATCTTTTATGTGTTTTTATTATATATTTATTGATTTTACATGTTGTTTATTCGATCCTCTCACGGCGCGGTCCCGGATGCATTTTCACTACGCAATGCATTAAAAATTCACTTATACAATCACTAAAAGTTTGGTAATTAGCAAACTCTTAAGAGTTTAGTTTCTCAGTTAATATTTAGTTAGTTGCGGTTTCGCCTGTCTGTTTCTGCATTAGTTTCCTCCCTAAGAGGAAGTTGTAACACAGCATTGGTGCCCATGATTTTTCGGCAAAGTGTAGAAATAGAACATTGGTGCAGGAGCTAGTTAACAATATTCGCGCCATTTTACATAAGACAGCGAGAGATGGCTTCGACGTCTACTCAGCAGAAAAAGAGAAAAAAAGAGGTTGTGAATTGAAAAGACAAAAAGGATATACGTTTGATGAGTACAGTCCATAATAACTCGATGATTGATGTTGAAACACGGAAAAGAACTGTAAAAAAACCAATAATTGTAAAAGATTACAACAACAAAATGGGGGGAATGGACAGCCTGGATCGGATGTTATCAAATTATCCT